GCCCGACCAGAAAGTCAGCGTCGCCCAAGTGAGCGCGGGGCCAACAATCCATTCCCGTTAACATCACAGATGCCTATATTTTGCACAACTTCCTCTACGCAAACGTTTGAAGCAACATAACTTCCTACCATATGCAGTGAAAAACACCAAACGAGTCCTGCATGCTTGCAATAATGGAAGTAGAGTAAATAATCACTTTCTGTTAAGAATATCAAGCGAACGTCGAAATGGCACCACTCGTTGCACGTGCCTATCATTGCATAGCTTACCCTGCTTAATCGTTAAAAACAGAATAATTTCCTACCTTACTCGGCGAGACGCATCAAACTTGTCCTACATGCTCGTAATATAGTACATGTAGTGAATGATAAGAAGAGCACTCAGGGCCTCAGATTCGTTTTGAGGTTGGCTGATTCATCAGCCTTGGTACACAAATGTAGGCTGATGAATCAGTCTTAGCAAAAAGAAAATCGCTGAAAAAACAGAGTTATTTAGAAAAAAAACGTTGGAACATCAGTGTCATTGAAAATAAAAGGCTGTTTCTTTTTTTTTAGGTTTTTTCCTACAGATAATTGCAACCACGTATTTTAGGGCGGTACGTCATTATCGCTTTGCTCCTACGCAGGGTGCTTAGCACAGGTGCGGCCAAGATTGTGACGACGGGAAAGAGCAGGCGTCACAGCGCAGGTGACGGCGCGGCAACGAGCAGGCGCGGGCTTAGGAATAGGCATGCATGGGTAGCACGGGTGTCAACGATTGAGGAAACTGTGTTGGGAGTAAGGCAACGTAAGTGTTTTTTATCAAACAAAGGCGTGGGGTGAAAGGGTAGACTAAAGGCCAAAGGGACAAGCCACGGGACGCGTGGGAACGGGAAGTGCGTGGAGGTGAGTCTCTTGTGAGTCTTGCTCGACTCTTGAGGTTTTTGGATATGGTTGGTTTGAGGAACACTTGTGGGAGGAGAATCAATGCCTGGTACGACATATTTGGGGACACCCGCAAATTCGGCGTGATTGACGGTGGGACTGTCGAACTGGTGTACAGTACCTAGACATCCGAAATTCAGCGCACCTACGCGAATCTCCATTACTGGGATTTCAGCCAACCCCCCCCGTTATGACGCTGGTCAGTCAGTGTACACTACAGAAAAAAAACTGAAATATCAGCCCTTTCATAGAAAAAAATATCTGGAAATTCAGCCCACACACTAAAAAAAAGCTGACAAATCAGCCCCACTATCTCCCCAGCACTAAAAACACAGCCTTTTTACCCCTAATCAGCCTTTTTTCGCTGACTTCTGAGGCCCTGAGAATACTTCTTAAAAATAACAAAGTATCGTCGAAACAACATCAGGTGGCGCACAAGCCTATTTTGTGGCACCATTTATTAGAGACTTGCTCGTATCGTTGTGAAAGTCAGACCCTACAACAAAAGCTGTGTTAAGTGCCAATTATAGAAAACGATAAACATTTTTCTTTCCTCAGATACGTTATTGTTTTTCCAAACTGTAATCATGTGCAAGAAATTTGTCTCCAATAATGGGAACACAAGGATTTAAAACAAATACTACATTTACAACTGTTTAACAATCCCACCTGCCAGTAACAAATATCGCAGCAACTTATGTACAAAGCGCTTCACACCCGAACGTGACAATCTCACCCATGCCTGCGCCAGACCTGCCATTCAAGACTCGATCTGCCAGCACGTACCAAACACGGCGGTGTTCGCCAGCACCAATTAAGCACCAATTAAGCAAAAACCTATCGAGATGGTAGAACGAAAGATAGAACAGAGAAGAGGGGTTGTACTAGCAGCATGCAAGGTACATATAGGAAACCCTAATTTGGGTTGTACTCGCTATAGAGTACCCCACTGCAGGCTAGACAATTACAACATTCTGACACACCCCCATAGCCAAAGTGGGGTGTAATCAGCGCAAATAACCAGTCATAGATCAAGTCCACAAATGCAAGTAAAGCTAGAGGCAGTCACAGAGGGCAAGTGAGGAGGAGGAGAGACTGTGAGGGGCGATCTGCTGCAGACACAACGGGCAACAGGAGCGGCGTGCACAGTGGCTACCGAGCGCACGAGGGCACCGGACTACGGGAGTATCTGGCTCCGCGGCTACGACGAGCACACACAGGAGCAACTGACCCACAGGCAACTGGCGAAGCAGGCTCGCTGGGCTACCGAAACGCGCGAGGGCATCCGGACTACTGGCGCTGCTGGCGTCACGACGGCTACTTCCACGCAACCTCCCCCGACCGTCCCACGCCCCTCTCACACACCCCCTGCTGACACCCTAGCTCCACTTCCACGGCACCCCCCTTAAACCCTAAACCTCGGCTCCCACACATCCACCCCCCTCAGCGGCAGCTGCAGCAGTGGGAGACGGAGGAGGAGGAGGAGCAGGGGACGGCGCACACACACGGCACCCCCAGAGCTGCCACCCCCACACTCCGCACCCCCAAACCCTAAAAACGGGCGGAACGGGGGAAGGAGCGCGGGGGACGGCGAGGGGGACGGCGCTCGGCCCCCAGAACGCGACCACGGGGCAGCGAGGGGCCGCGCGCGGCTCCCCAGGGCGGCGCGACGGGAAATCGGGGCCGCGGGGGGGTCGCGCGCGGCTCCCCAGGGCGGCACGACGGGAAATCGGGGCCGCGGGGGGTCGCGCGCGGCTCCCCAGGGCGGCACGACGGGAAATCGGGGCCGCGGGGGGTCGCGCGCGGCTCCCCAGGGCGGCACGACGGGAAATCGGGGCCGCGGGGGGTCGCGCGCGGCTCCCCAGGGCGGCACGACGGGAAAACGGGGCCGCGGGGGGTCGCGTGCGGCTCCCCAGGGCGACGGGATCGCGGGGCCGCGGGCGACGGGACCGGAGGGCCGCGGGCGACGGGATCGGGGGGCCGCGGGCGTCCCCCACGGTAGGAAACCGCCGTGCGCCTCGGTGCGCACGGCGGGGAGAAAACCGCCGCACGCCCCGAGCGCGCGGCGGGATGAAAATGTGAAGGTCGCGCGCCACGGGGCGCGCGACACAGAGTAGGGCAGCGGAAGCAGCAGTGGGGCCCACAGGCCAGGAGCGTGAACGCTCTGTTACCATATCGAGATGGTAGAACGAAAGATAGAACAGAGAAGAGGGGTTGTACTAGCAGCATGCAAGGTACATATAGGAAACCCTAATTTGGGTTGTACTCGCTATAGAGTACCCCACTGCAGGCTAGACAATTACAACATTCTGACAAAACCATGGGATAACGACGGGATCAGGAAGGTGGGTCTCGCCTTCCTGATCCCGTCAGTTAGGGTTCGTTTACCTCCGTCAGCCTGGTCAGCCCGTAAAAAAGGTGCCGAGCCTCCCCAATCGTCCAAACCAACAATCAGAGTGGGTGTCTGGCGAACGCCCCCATTTGACCACCAAAACGAACCGCTCGACGGCATGAGGAAACGGGGACGCAACTTCGTCCACAGGCATAGTCCCATCCCCAAGCCGTGCCATCGCCATGCCCCGTTTTTCAAAGCACAGCGATGGCACAGCCGTCGCATTGCCGTCGCGCCACTAGTTGAGGAAGGTGGGGCAGGGGGTTCCATATGCGGTTGTGAAATTTCCTGTTTTGGGGATTGAAGTTTCGCGGACCGCATTACGCCCAGACCTCTTGGCATCGTTCTGTAGGCGCATTGGAGATGCTCAGGCCCAGTGATGAACCTTCTTGGAACGCGATGTGAGAATTTAAAGCCCATGTCGAACCTCTCATTTCGTTATTGTCGTCCGAACCTGGGAGCAGCCGGTGTGCGCCCACGTGTAACTGAACGGAGAACAGTCCATCCCCTCCGAGGCTGCATGGAAGCCTCAACCTCGGGCAATTTGAACCAACAGCCCGTGCGAACCCTATCCGCCCATCCCCCCAGGGATAAGGAGACGCACAGGCTGTAACGGGCAGATCACAACGCCCGTCACTGGGACGTTTGAAGATCAAACCTCACCACAGAAAAACCAAATCCTAAAACGTCTACGGTTGAGAGGTGGTGGTTGCAGGGAACCCTAAAACGTCTACGGTTTGTGCCTGGGTTGGGCCCTAGAACATCCTTCAATCGTTCTGGGCAGATGGGACGAAAAAAGTTCGGATGTATGCGAAATTGCTTCGTCTGCAGTTTCGAATTTCGGCGAAATCGAGGACGACCTCTCCCCTTCGGGGATTTGCTTCCCACAGAGTTTGTGCAGAGAGGCCCGATGGCTTGTGCGCGTACAGAACGATGCCCTTGACCAGGTTTCGACCCCGGTTCCGGATGCGGTCGCCATGCCGATGCCGCCAAAATGCCATCCGTTTTCAAAGTCCCTGGCGAACACCGCCATGAGAGAATGCGTGACTCGAAATTGAGTTCCGCAGCTTTGCAAGTTTCGACCAATCGTAAGTTTCCAGCAATGCACATTCGAATTTCTTTCAACTCAACCTACACCCTCCGAAACACATGAGCACGATCCAACTTCCCGTTCAAACTTTGATTTCGGAAGTTGGTTCTTTTCCGATGTGCCACCTGCGCTTGCCAATTTGGTGCGCAAGCTCGGCTTCTGTGTTCGTTATTCGCCGCGCCACCTTGCTCACTCCGCCACCCTGTTCCCCCGGCACCCTTCGCCAACCGCTCACACAAACGGGCTGCGGCCGCAACTTGTAGATCTGGCGCGCCTGCCAATTTGGTGCGCAAGCCGGCTTCCCAACGCGTCGGGCCGACCAACGTGACCATTCCGCCGCACCCGTCACTTCCTCGCTCGACGGGCGACGGGCGACGGGCGACGGGCGACGGGGCGACGGGCGACGGACGACGGGCCGCGACGGGCGACGGGAGAGGAGCAGTGGCGAGGCTGGGCAAGGCTGGTAGGCGGAGGGCGGAGCGATTTAGCACAGGCACTGGCAGTGGCGAGGAGAGAGTGAGGAGGGAGAAAACGAGAGGAAGAGGGAGGAGCGTGGGGGGAGAGAGTGGGAAAGCGGGGCAGCAGCGGCGGCGGCATGGAGGTGTTTTTCTGGGCGGTGTTCGGCGCGCTGGTGGTGCTGTGCGCGGGGCTGGAGGGCAGCAAGGGGCAGCGCGACAAGCTGCAGACGTCGCCCGCCTTTGAGTCCTTCAAGAACAACTACCTCCTCGTCTACTCTCTCATGATGGGTATGGCTTATAACGAGTATTGCATATGATTGTATGGATAAAGTGTGAAGCGTATTTGTGGGTTCGTAACATTGGCTTGCTTCCAATTCAGTGACCGTTTTTGCGTCGCCCCATCCATCAATGCTGCTCTCTCTGTCCTCCTTCCCCCGTCCCTCCCCTCCTCCTTCATTCACCCTGCCTGGCATGCTGCCCTCCCAGCGGGCGACTGGTTGCAGGGCCCATACGTGTACGCGCTGTATCAGCACTACGGCTACGACAAGGGCGACATCGGCCGCCTCTTCATCGCTGGCTTCGGCTCCTCCATGGTCTTCGGCACCATCGTTGGCTCGCTCGCCGATAAGCAGTAAGCATCGTTGGCTCTCTCGTCGAGAAGCAGTAAGCATTGTTGGCTCGCTCGTCGATAAGCAGTAAGCATTGTTGGCTCGCTAGCCGACAAGCAGTAAGCATTGTTGGCTCGCTCGCCGACAAGCAGTAAGCATTGTTGGCTCGCTAGCCGACAAGCAGTAAGCATTGTTGGCTCGCTAGCCGACAAGCAGTAAGCATTGTTGGCTCGCTAGCCGACAAGCAGTAAGCATTGTTGGCTCGCTAGCCGACAAGCAGTAAGCATTGTTGGCTCGCTAGCCGACAAGCAGTAAGCATTGTTGGCTCGCTAGCCGACAAGCAGTAAGCATTGTTGGCTCGCTAGCCGACAAGCAGTAAGCATTGTTGGCTCGCTAGCCGACAAGCAGTAAGCATTGTTGGCTCGCTAGCCGACAAGCAGTAAGCATTGTTGGCTCGCTAGCCGACAAGCAGTAAGCATTGTTGGCTCGCTAGCCGACAAGCAGTAAGCATTGTTGGCTCGCTAGCCGACAAGCAGTAAGCATTGTTGGCTCGCTAGCCGACAAGCAGTAAGCATTGTTGGCTCGCTAGCCGACAAGCAGTAAGCATTGTTGGCTCGCTAGCCGACAAGCAGTAAGCATTGTTGGCTCGCTAGCCGACAAGCAGTAAGCATTGTTGGCTCGCTAGCCGACAAGCAGTAAGCATTGTTGGCTCGCTAGCCGACAAGCAGTAAGCACACATTATGCCCCTCAGCTGCACCTCACTCTCAATGCCCCTTTCATCTCTGTCTGTTGTTCACACTCACACGCACGCACACACAAACATGGCCTCATCTCCCCTTCCCTCCACCCTCTCCCCCCACACCTGCATGGCTGTCGTGTGAGCGAGCAGTGGGCGGCGGCGCGCGTCGCTGACGTACTGTGGGGTGTACGTGCTGTCGTGCGTGACCAAGCACTCGCCCGACTACCGCCTGCTCATGCTGGGCCGCGTGCTGGGCGGCATCGCCACCTCGCTGCTCTTCTCCGCCTTCGAGAGCTGGCTGGTCGCAGAGCACTTCAAGGTACAGCAGGCTGGTGGCGGAGCACTTCAAGGTACAGCAGGCTGGTGGCGGAGCACTTCAAGGTACAGCAGGCTGGTGGCGGAGCACTTCAAGGTACAGCAGGCTGGTGGCGGAGCACTTCAAGGTACAGCAGGCTGGTGGCGGAGCACTTCAAGGTACAGCAGGCTGGTGGCGGAGCACTTCAAGGTACAGCAGGCTGGTGGCGGAGCACTTCAAGGTACAGCAGGCTGGTGGCGGAGCACTTCAAGGTACAGCAGGCTGGTGGCGGAGCACTTCAAGGTACAGCAGGCTGGTGGCGGAGCACCTCAAGGTACAGCAGGCTGCCATGTGTCGAAAGACGCGTCCTGCGTCCTGGACGATTGCGTCCAGACGCATGCGTCCAGACGCAGGACGCGTCACCTGGACCTGTAAGACGCACCCCAGGACGCAATCTCGGGCAGGGCAAAAAAAAACCCCCGGGCAGGCCAAAAAAAAGTGTATAGGGCTTGGCAGAGGGGGGGGGGGAGACGTACCACACTTTTCAAAGCAAAATTTTCCACAACCTCAAATTTTACCCCCAACATTTTTTACTAAGGTGAGTCACGCGTCACGCATGGCACAAGGTCTCACACACATTAAGTTTAATCCAAGCATTTACGACCATCGGTAAGACTACTAATCTACCACTGCACTGCATCTAGTCAACCAGCACATCAAACATCCCCATCATCCTCCCTCTCCTTCTCCGCCTCTTCGTCCATCGCTTCCTGCTCCTTGTACTCGTCGACGCACGGGTCGTCCTCGTCCACCTCCCTCTCCCCATCCTCCTCCAAGTTGTACCCCTTGGGGAGGGGAGGGGTGCGAATGTTACCCTCCACCACCACCCCCCTCCTGACCTCCCCACTTGGCCCTGCACCACCAGCTGCACCCTGGTGGTAACCGTGCACCACCTTCCAGTTGTGCGCCACGAACACCAGATCGCGCACCTTCTCCGACCCCAGCCTGTTCCTGCGCGCCGTGTGCACCCCATCCCACACAGCCCATCCCCGCTCGCATGGAGAGGCGGAAACGGCCTGTGACACCGCACGGCGCGCAAGCCCCGCCAGATCGGGGTACTCCCAGCCATTCACCTTCCACCACGACGCCATGTCCCCCTTCCCTGCCTTCAGCTGCGCACGCCCCTCTATCGCCTCCTCCGACCCAAAGCCCCCCCTGCCCTCGATGTACGCCAACATCCCCTCCTGCAGCTCTAGCATCGTTCCCTCCCGCTCCCCCTCCTTCTTCCAGTACGTGTCGACGAAGACCCTCGAGCGCTGCAGCCATGCCTTCATCACCCTGGTGCACTCTCTGTCCTTCAGGTAAATCTCCTCCTCCTGGTTCGCCGGGTTAAGAATCCGGCCTACCACGTGAAGAGGGCAGGCCAAACTCTCGTCCCCAACGCCTCCTCAAATGCTCCAGCAACCCCTCCTTATCCTCCTCGCTGAGCTGACAATCCGCACTCTCCAACAGCTGCGACAAGTCCACCGTCAGCTGCAGCATCATGTCTTGTGCATCATCCCCTTCGCTGGCCCATCTGTCTTCCTCATCACCTTGTACGGCAGCCCCATCACCTTCACGAAGGTGTCCACCTTCTTCCACCAGTCCAAATCCATCACCGCCTTCTCAAAAGTTTTGCCAGTCTGCTGCTTCCTCCCCTTCTCCTCCCAGTCCGGGTGCGTCACCATCTTCACCAGCTGCTGGCGAATCTCACGCAGACGTGAAACTGCAATGTACTGCGTCCCAAAGCGTGTGCCCGCCGGTCGCAGCGGCTGCAACGACTTCGCCTCGCCATGCAGCTCGGGACACCGGAGGAATGCACGCGTCCAGGTGTGGCTGCGCAGGAACGCGATCATGTCGGTCGCCACTGGCACGACCTCCTGCGCCCAATCCATGCCGCCGAAGTCCTTCAACAGCAAGTCGAGCACGTGAGTGGCGCAGGGGACGATCTCCAGGTGCGGGTACTTCTTCTGCAGCAGCTTGCCGGCGGACACGTAGTTGCTACCCCCGTCCGTGCAAATCGCGACGACATGCTCCGGTCCAATCTTCTCGATCAGCGGCTGCAGGACGCTCACAATGAACGCCCCAGTCTTCGTCTCCGCCTTACAGTCGATCGCCTCCTGGAAAACCGCTCCACTGGCATTGATACAGACGACGTTCATCTGCGCGCGCCCGCTCTTGTCCTTCATCATGTCGCTGGCGATCGTCACGTCAATCTCCTTCCACGACTTCGTGATGGGCGACAAACCCTTCTCAATCTGCTGCTTGCACGCCAGCAGCCCCGCGCCTCCAACGTAGTCCTTCTTGGGGGGAACGTAGCCACCGCCGGCGGCGTTGACGGCGCGCACCATGTTGAGGAAGAGGGGATGCTCGCACATGCGCTCCGACGTGCGCGTCCCCGCGATGTAGAGGCAAATCGCATCGTCCGCCGCCCGCTTCGCCGAGAGCCCCCCCTCGCCATACCAATCCTCCATCCGCCCCTTCTTTGCCTTCGGCCCCGCGCCGCCTTGGCCGGTCACTGCATTGAGCGCCTCCTCCAAAGCCCTCTCCTTATCCTTACGCGCCATAATCTTCGTTTCCTTCGCGCCGCGAATGGCGGCCGAAACGCGCTTAGGGACATCCGCGCACATAATTCCGGCCTCGCGCCGCACGTTAGCATCGTTCCACTCGGCGAGATGCTGGGTGCATCGGCTACTACTAAACGCGAACGTTTTCCCGCACCAAAGGCACTCGCACTGCTTCCCCTTCTTGGTGGGATCGTCGAACGTCCAAAAGTGCCTATAAATATGGTGATTCGGTTGTTGGGGTTTTTTCTCCACCCCGTCTTTAGTAAAACGCTTAGGGGGGGAGTCATCGTCAACAGCAACACTCTTAGACGCGGTGGAAGAAGAAGGAACGCTCGAGGAAGCCATAACGGAACCTAGGTAGCAAGCCAATCTACAAAGGGTTTTCGAAAGAGAATTGGTTGGGAAGGGAAATGAGAAACCAACCCTAGTTGTATTGCAAAATGGGCTTGGTGGTGGTGGTGGTGGTGGTGGGCCACAAAAGTTGGGTTTTGTAGATGTGAAGTGGTTGAGAGGTGTGAGTGAATTTGCAATTTGCATGCCTTGTTATGAAATGTTGGGGGGGCTGGTTTACAATGTCGAATTTGGCTTTGGGGGTCGAAATTTCGCGATTTCGACATTCGCGCCGAAATCGCGAATGTCAAAATCGCGGGTAATTTTTTTTTTCGGGCTGCCCGAAAAAAAATTCGGGCTGCGTCCTGCGTCTGGACGCGCGTCCTGCGTCCTAGCGTCCGGACGCTGCGTCCAGACGCAGGACGCAGCGTCCTGGCTGCGTCTTTCCTAACATAGGCAGGCTGGTGGCGGAGCACTTCAAGGTACAGCAGGCTGGTGGCGGAGCACTTCAAGGTACAGCAGGCTGGTGGCGGAGCACTTCAAGGTACAGCAGGCTGGTGGCGGAGCACTTCAAGGTACAGCAGGCTGGTGGCGGAGCACTTCAAGGTACAGCAAGGGAGGCTGTGGGCAGAAGAGCACGCATGGGCACAAAAAGGGATTGCTCGCCCACTCCACGCCCTTGTGTGACCCGTTTCTTGTCTCATCTCCGTCCTCTTCCACGTTCCCACCCTTCTCCCCCGGGCAGCGAGGCTTTGAGGCGCAGTGGCTGTCAGTGACGTTCTCCAAGGCCATCTGGCTGGGCAACGGGCTGGTGGCCATCCTCTCAGGGCTGCTCGCCAACTCGCTCGTCACGTCGCTCGCCCTCGGCCCCGTCGCCCCCTTTGACGCCGCCGCCCTCGTGCTGCTGGTGGGCGGGGGCATTATAGCAGCCACGTGGCCGGAGAACTACGGCGACACCACCGACTCCAAGGAGCTCCTCGCGCAGTTCCACGCCGCCGCCACCGCCATCGCCTCAGGTGCGCGAGGACACCAGTTAGGCGCCATTGAGTCGATACGTGGCAGCAACTTAGGATTCCAACACCTGTTGTTGTTGGCAGTACTTTGTAAAAAACTGTTGTGTAAAACATCGGTGGTAACAGGTTTGAGTACAAGCCTTGTTCAGGCCACAAGCTGTTCTACTGAACGAGTACCACATATATGCCTAGAGAATGTCAACCTAGACTCTGACCCGCACGGGAAATCTTCGCTGTGGCGAGTTTGGGGACAACGGTTCAGGTGGGCTGCATGCCATTGCCTCAGGTGGGCTGCCATCGCCTCAGGTGGGCTGGGGGGGAGAGAAAGACGTAGGTAGTAGCTACTCGACTGGAAAGCCATAGTGAGCGGGATTATGGTCGCGCTTGTGCAAGCAGAGCATTGAGTCAGTCGCAGTGCTCCCATGGGTCTCTCCTAGTGCCCTCATTGATCTTCTCGAGAAATACCAAATTGCAAGGGTGGTTGTGGTATGGAATTCCAGAGCTAGCATCCGTGCAAGCAAGATGGTGGAGAAAGATGAAGATGCGGGCATGGAACATGGATTTTGCAGGATGTGACGGAGAGGGGAGGATGAAGAGGAAGTCCTTGGAGAGGAGGATGAAGAGGAAGTCCTTGGAGGGGAGGATGAAGAGGAAGTCCTTGGAGGGGAGGATGAAGAGGAAGTCCTTGGAGGGGAGGGTGAAGAGGAAGGAAGTCCTTGGAGTGGGAAATCAAGGTAGATCTTAAGGCTCTTTCTTTAGATCTCTTGTGAGTGTAGAAGGATGGGTTGGAAGTCTAAGGCATTTCTCAGTAAGATTGGCTGAAATGCCTACTCGGTGCGGGTTGGGGAGTTTGGTTATCACATTTGGAAAAGGTTGGGATAGTGTTGTAACATCCAACCCTCATGTGAGATGGGGGCCATCCTCCAACTACTGGAACGTTGTTCAGAGGCTCAGAGGCTTGGTGCGCAGCGTGAGGCTGAGCATGCAGGCTCGGGCCGAGCAGGCTGTGAAAGTGACCAGCACTGTATACGACTCGCATCTATACTTTTCTCGATGTGAAATTTGACTGCATGGCTCTCCCCCAACAGACACGGCTCAGCTTGAGCCAGCAGCATCCCGCCACTGGGGTGGCTTGGGCGTGCCTGCCAACCAGCTGCCAGCCTAACCAGCTGCCAGCCTAACCAGCTGCCAGCCTAACCTCGGGTGGGACGACTCAACACGCTGTGGAGCGGGGAGTGCACAGTGCATTGCAATGGCCGTCCGGCACACATGCCATCACTGCAACATCAATTGCACTTCCTTACTCCTCTCTTCCGCGCTACCCGTGTATGTCACGGCTCATTGCGGGTCGTTTCTTGAACCCCTCTGGCAACCCTCATCGTTCACTCGGGGCGAATTTAGGTCGCTCTCCCACCACTCACATTGTGCACCAAACATGCTCCTGTCTGGATGCCGCAATATCTCTTCACATTTGCACATCTATCTGTTTCCCAGTGCTTCCTCACTGCCATGCGTGCCATGTGTGTGGCAGACGAGAAGATAGCGCTGCTGGGGGCCATCCAGTCGCTGTTTGAGGGCAGCATGTACACCTTCGTGTTCCTCTGGACGCCCGCCCTGGCGCCCTCGGACCAGCGCATCCCACACGGCTTCATCTTCGCCATCTTCATGCTCGCCTCCATGACCGGCTCCTCCCTCGCTGCTCGCCTCATGGCGCGCCCCGCCCTGCGCGTGGAGCTCTACATGCAGATCGTCTTCGCCGTCTCCTCCCTCTCCCTCCTCGTCCCGCTCTTCGCCTTCGTCAGTGCTCTGCTCCTCTGCACCCCTCCTGCTTCCTCAACCCTCCCCCCATGTCTCTCTCTCCTGCGCTCTCTCATTGCCTTCACTTATTGTTGTTCATTTTTGACTTCCCATATTCAACGGATTGTTCTGTCCATGTGCTCTCCCGTGCTAGCTGAACCCAAAGCATCCCATTCGTCTCCCCGTTGCACCCATTCGTCTCCCCGTTGCACCCATTCGTCTCCCCGTTGCACCCATTCGTCTCCCCGTTGCACCCATTCGCTAACACATCCCCGTTGCACCGCTAACACATCCCCGTTGCACCATTCGCTAACACATCCCCGTTGCACCGCTAACACATCCCAACGACTTTTTTCTGCCGCATCACCACTCCCTGCGTCTTTCCATCCATCTCCCTGCGTCTTTCCATCCATCTCCCTGCGTCTTTCCATCCATCTCCCTGCGTCTTTCCATCCATCTCACTGCGTCTTTCCATCCATCTCCCTGCGTCTTTCCATCCATCTCCCTGCGTCTTTCCATCCATCTCCCTGCGTCTTTCCATCCATCTCACTGCGTCTTTCCATCCATCTCACTGCGTCTTTCCATCCATCTCCCTGCGTCTTTCCATCCATCTCCCTGCGTCTTTCCATCCATCTCCCTGCGTCTTTCCATCCATCTCCCTGCGTCTTTCCATCCATCTCCCTGCGTCTTTCCATCCATCTCCCTGCGTCTTTCCATCCATCTCCCTGCGTCTTTCCATCCATCTCCCTGCGTCTTTCCATCCATCTCACTGCGTCTTTCCATCCATCTCCCTGCGTCTTTCCATCCATCTCCCTGCGTCTTTCCATCCATCTCACTGCGTCTTTCCATCCATCTCCCTGCGTCTTTCCATCCATCTCACTGCGTCTTTCCATCCATCTCCCTGCGTCTTTCCATCCATCTCCCTGCGTCTTTCCATCCATCTCCCTGCGTCTTTCCATCCATCTCCCTGCGTCTTTCCATCCATCTCCCTGCGTCTTTCCATCCATCTCCCTGCGTCTTTCCATCCATCTCCCTGCGTCTTTCCATCCATCTCACTGCGTCTTTCCATCCATCTCACTGCGTCTTTCCATCCATCTCCCTGCGTCTTTCCATCCATCTCCCTGCGTCTTTCCATCCATCTCCCTGCGTCTTTCCATCCATCTCACTGCGTCTTTCCATCCATCTCCCTGCGTCTTTCCATCCATCTCACTGCGTCTTTCCATCCATCTCCCTGCGTCTTTCCATCCATCTCCCTGCGTCTTTCCATCCATCTCCCTGCGTCTTTCCATCCATCTCCCTGCGTCTTTCCATCCATCTCCCTGCGTCTTTCCATCCATCTCCCTGCGTCTTTCCATCCATCTCCCTGCGTCTTTCCATCCATCTCCCTGCGTCTTTCCATCCATCTCCCTGCGTCTTTCCATCCATCTCACTGCGTCTTTCCATCCATCTCCCTGCGTCTTTCCATCCATCTCACTGCGTCTTTCCATCCATCTCCCTGCGTCTTTCCATCCATCTCCCTGCGTCTTTCCATCCATCTCCCTGCGTCTTTCCATCCATCTCCCTGCGTCTTTCCATCCATCTCCCTGCGTCTTTCCATCCATCTCCCTGCGTCTTTCCATCCATCTCCCTGCGTCTTTCCACCCATCTCCCTGCGTCTTTCCATCCATCTCCCTGCGTCTTTCCATCCATCTCCCTGCGTCTTTCCATCCATCTCCCTGCGTCTTTCCATCCATCTCCCTGCGTCTTTCCATACATCTCCCAGCGTCTTTCCATCCATCTCCCTGCGTCTTTCCATCCATCTCCCTGCGTCTTTCCATCCATCTCCCTGCGTCTTTCCATCCATCTCCCTGCGTCTTTCCATCCATCTCCCTGCGTCTTTCCATCCATCTCCCTGCGTCTTTCCATCCATCCCCCTGCGTCTTTCCATCCATCTCCCTGCGTCTTTCCATCCATCTCCCTGCGTCTTTCCATCCATCTCACTGCGTCTTTCCATCCATCTCCCTGCGTCTTTCCATCCATCTCCCTGCGTCTTTCCATCCATCTCCCTGCGTCTTTCCATCCATCTCCCTGCGTCTTTCCATCCATCTCCCTGCGTCTTTCCATCCATCTCCCTGCGTCTTTCCATCCATCTCCCTGCGTCTTTCCATCCATCTCCCTGCGTCTTTCCATCCATCTCCCTGCGTCTTTCCATCCATCTCCCTGCGTCTTTCCATCCATCTCCCTGCGTCTTTCCATCCATCTCCCTGCGTCTTTCCATCCATCTCCCTGCGTCTTTCCATCCATCTCCCTGCGTCTTTCCATCCATCTCCCTGCGTCTTTCCATCCATCTCCCTGCGTCTTTCCACCCATCTCACTGTTGTATCTTGTTTTTTGCCTTACTGCCCGTCCCTCCACCCATCTCACCGCCCATCATGCCGCCCATCCCGCCGCCCGGCGAGCAGTTTGTGTTGGAGCCGGTGGCGCCGGACGGGGGGGGCATCACGCCGGGGGGGCGGGTGCAGCTGGTGGGGTTTTGTGTGTTTGAGGTGTGTGTGGGCGTGTTCTGGCCGTCCATCATGAAGATGCGCTCGCAGTTCATCCCTGAGGAGGCGCGCGCCACCATCATGAACTTCTTCCGCATCCCCCTCAACTGCTTCGTCTGCATCGTGCTCTACAATGTAAGTGCGCTCTACAATGTATGTGCGCTCTACAATGTTTGTGCTCTCTACAATGGAGGTGCTTTTACTGGTCACGTCATTTTCACACCCATCTCTTCCAATCCTCATTACATTCACCCTTCCTCTTCCCCCTCTCCCCTCCGCGACCCTGCCACTCCTCCCCCCGCCCCCCTTTCCGGGTGGCAGGTGAGTGCGTTCCCCATAACAGCCATGTTCGGCATGTGCTCCATCTTCCTCGCCATGGCAGCTGTGCTGCAGCGCCGCCTCTGTGCCATCTCCCCGGGCAAGCCCGGCACACCCGCCTGCCACTGTGAGTTGTCGCATCATGCATTGCTCATTGCTGCCTCTCACTGCCACAATGACTGTTTTTTTGTGAAAGTGTGTCCCCATATGTGTGTGCATGTGCAAATTTCTGTGCATGTGTGTGATCCACATGCATGCCTAGTTCGTACAAGGTAACTAAGTTGGTGCCTAAACTCCTGTGTCACTCTTGTGTCTATGTTAGTTTTCTGCTTACCACGCTTTTTCCACTCTGCTTTCACTACATGCCCATGTGCACGTGTGCAGCAAATGCTGATGAGAATAAGATGCGGGAGACAGAGCAAGAACAACTCTTGTGAATCTCATGACTCCGGCAGTTTGAAAAGTTGCAAGAATTTCATGTATCCCACCCTCTTAGTTCTGCCTGTTGTGTAAGAAACCAGCACTGCCACATAGACACTTGAGTGTCAAGATAGTTGGGAGGTGCAGTTGAAAGAACAAGGGGAAGCAGGCTGGGCTCACCTGAGTACCCTTGATTCCAGGGGCTTGAGATGTCGGTCTTCATTTACCCAGTGACAAATGCATGCCTGTAATTTCCTGGACAGACATTTTTAATGCATTCTCTAGGATATCAGGGTTATGGTTTGGACCCTTACCCCGTACCGTATATTTGATGGTATTTTGTTCAATCCCTATGAGATCAAATCACCGTCATCGCTAGGGCTGACTATTAAAAAAAAAAAAAAAAAAGAGAACGGTCTGATGTTGAGGCATATTTTTCTATGAATGGCTACTCTGTTTTTCCAGGTTCCGCAGAACCACAAGCCTGAAGTACTCAGACTTCATAGGGCAAAATCAGACTAAGGATTGTCCAATACTTATTGCGTAGTGTTATTTGAACACCCAATAATCATTGACTACCTACCTAGTACCTACCTACTCTACTACCCACACTTCAGTACAGTCTGGAACTCATGAACTGCAATTCCAATCCTGTCATCTCCGTCGTCTTCTTCTCGCTCATCCTCTGAGAGAAACGGGTTGCGTGTGGCATCGTCCTAGCGTGCGCCGGCAAACTCATCCTCACTGTCCTCATCTGAAGCATACTCCTCGCCCCCGTCACAACCACTTTCCTCTTTCTATTGTCCCTCGTCATCAGCGAGCTCCTTCCCCCTGCGCTTCCTCTCAGCTGCTGCAGAAACCGATGACTTGGCAGGGCGCCTTTGCTTCTCTCGCCACTTGGCAAGAGCTGCTTCCCAGTCGATCTCGTAGTCCAGGAGCGAAATGGGCATCAGCTTTGCTAGTCACGCGTTGCCCAGAGCGCCCCTCACCCATAACTTGATCACGTTTTGCCGCGAAGAACCTCGCTCGCACTCGACCAACGACAGTGGCATCATCTTCAGTAGCTTGCCACAGTTGCATGATGTTTGGCTAGCGCCTAAATGGAAAACATGTAAGGAGATAAAGCATAGTATCTAGGCATGGTAATAGGCATGTATGGGAGAGGCCGAGATAGGTAACACGAAGGATAAACACACATAACTGTCACACATACTAAGTTGCGTAAACCCTGGAAGAACCCCTCCTCCTAATGGTGTGCCTCCATAATTGGCGCCCACGACAGCAGCTCCCTCTCTGCAGCAGTCAAGTGGAAGCCGGGGAGTTTGTCCCAAAAAATCACACTGCATCCGTGAATGTACTCTCACACCTTCCTGCCGCGTTGTTGCCGTTGCTTGGGCCACTTGGCAGCTCGGAACAGCTTCGCTGGCACTAGCTTCCTTATGTCTGCGAGGCGGAAGTTCAGCCTGTTTACACATTCCTGTGCAAACTTGGTGCATAGCTTCTCGCACTCTCTGTAAGTGCTGCCATACACATGCCCATCCAGGTGCTGCTCGTGTAGCTTGCACACATGGGACACGGACAGTCCTTCAGTGTCCACACCGCACACCCTTACCTTCTTGCCCCCAACCCTCACGTTCAGCGCTAGAGACTCTGACAACAGGGGGTTCTCGCCGGCTCCCATCACGTCCGCACACTCGAGGTAGCGTCGCCGCATGTCCCCCGTTGCCTCGTCTATATATCAGAAACTAATAAGCAGGAATGAGTTCACTAGCAAGGCATGAGAGTACAAGTACCTAACCTTAAAAGGGTTGTACCCTATATGGGCAACCCCACTGCAGCCTACATATGTATAAATTAGTTTTGATGCACCCCCATAGGCAAAGTGGAGTATAGCAAGAACAAGCAAAGCTCAGGCTGGATCACAAAGTCACCACACAATCTGAGCACAAGCAAAAGGTCATAAGACCAGTTCACATAAAGAGCACATATAGTATAGTGATCACAAGCTAGCAAGAGTAAGCATGCAGGTTTAGATGTAAAGATCACTGCACAAGGCAAAGTCAAGCAGTAAGCAAGTGAGGCAGAGTAGGCACAAGGCCTAGAGCAGTGCAGAAACGCTGATGATCACCAGACGCAAATGCCTTGGATAAAATATCAGCAGTGTTGGCCCGTGTGGCCACGTAAGCAAGACGAAGCTGACCAGACTGCTGCAACTCTCGTGCGAGGAAGTAACGCAGACTGATATGCTTCATTCTGTGCTCCAGTCTGTGCTCCTGATACAAGGCAATCAAGGCCTTGTTGTTGACGTAGAGAACCGGAGGAGTGAGGCCGCTCTCCCAAGTTGGTAAGTAGGTAGGTCAGCCACCGTAACTCCTATGCAGTCATGGCCCTTGCGTAGATTGCAGACAACTAGAGCTGAGAACAGAAGACGAGCAAGTAGACCTCCAGGAAACTAATCAGGAGCCAAGGCTGAAGGTGTAACCCTGTGACGACCACTGAGTCGCGTGGTCGTCCACCCAAGAAGCGTTTGAGTGTCAACTGAGGACAACTAGACCATGTCCTCCAAGAACAAGCCCCATGCCTGATATAATGCACATGTAGCGCAGTGCCCTCGGAGCAGCTGTCTTGTGCTCCTTCCGGTGTCTCCCGGGCGCAACGAAGCGAGCAAGGATGCTGAGAGGGTACGCGAGGTCAGGTCGTGTGCACATCATCAGACACTCAGCTCTACGGACTCATCCGAAGGTGGAGCTGAGAGCGAGTGGCTCGTAGGCAGAGGAGTGGGCTGTGGCGAGGAGAACTGAAAGCCGAAGCGCTGAAGGACCTGGTGCACCATGTGTGACTGAGTCAGAGTTATGGTGCGCCACGCTCTGTCCATCTGCAAGCCAAGGTAGCTGCGCAGCTCACCCAGATCAGTGCAAGTGTGTCTCTTCTGCAGCTCCGCCTTCACTAGGGCCAGTGCCTCAGTGTCAGCAGTAGCAAAAACCAAGTCGTCGACGTACACGAGGATGTAGAACGGCGGCAGCGAAGGGTCAGTGCGCAGAAACAGCGACAGATAAGCAGTCGAAGGAGCAAACCCAAGAGCCGCAAGTGTAGTCCTCAGTGTGTCGTGCCACTCGCGGGGTGCCTGACGGAGAATGTAGACTGGCCGCCGGAGGCTCCACTGGGTACCCTAAGTAAACGACCCAGTGAAGCCAAGTGGGCTGCGAAACCAGATCTCCTCGTGAAGGCTGCCCTGCAAGAAAGCTGTGCTGAAGTCAAGTGAGTGGAAATCGTAGTCATGCTGTGCTGCAACATGCAGTAACACCCAAAGAGTGGCCATTTTCGAGGTGGGGGAGAAGGTCTGGAAGAAGTCGACCCCCTGTCGCTGACTGAAGCCTCGTGCAACGTAACGCGCCTTGAAGACATGCGGAGAACCCGGCGACCGCTTCACCCTGAAAATCCACATGCCATCGACTATGTTAGCCTCAGGTGGTTGAACTACGTCGACGTAAGTGCTTGTGGACTTCCAGGATGCCATCTCTGCGTCCATGGGTGTCTGCCACTGAGAGGAGTAAGGACCCGTGATCGCCTCTGCATAAGAGCGCGGGGTCGGGATGTCTCGTGCATCCGGGTCTCCCTCAGGGGCAAGCAGCATGGCAGCGAGATCGAGGCACAGCAGCCGCAAGACACTCGAGCTCAAAGTGGCTATCCTAAAGGACGTCCGTGCCAAGGGCACTCACACCCTCGATGGACGGAGGACAGTCAGACTCAGACTCAGTGACAAGACTCGCGACGTAGTCGAGACGACACGCAGCAGCAAAGTCAATACGCTTAGTGACTAAGGCTGATGCAGCAGTAGACTTAAAAGTAGGGTCAGTGACAAGACTAGCGAGATCACACGAAACAGTGGGACTAGCAGCACGAGCACAGTCAGACTAAAGGTCAGGAACGTCAGGAGTTGAGGACAGTGGACCGGTTAGACGAACTAGTCTGTTGGTCTAATGGAGCGGTTGGACAAATTGGCCTATTGGTCAAATGGACCGAATGGACCAACTTGGCCTGTTGGACCAACAGGCCTGTTGGTCCAATGGACCGGTTAGACCAACTGGCCTGTTGGTCCAATGGACCGATTGGACCAACTAGCCTGTTGGTCCAGTGGACCGGTTGGACAAACTGGCTTGTTGGTCCAATGGAACGATTCGACCAACTGGCCTGTTGGTCCAACGGACCGGTTGGACCAACTGGCCTGTTGGTCCACTGGACCGGTTGGACCAGCTGGCCTGTTGATCTACAGGACCAGTTCGACCAGCTGTGCTGTTGGTCCAGTGGACCGGTTGGACCAACTGGCCTATTGGTCCAGTGGACCGGTTGGACAAACTGGCCTGTTGGTCCAGTGGACCGATTGGACCAACTGGCTTGTTGGTCCAGTGGACCGGTTGGACCAACTGGCCTGTTGGTCTAGTGGACCGGTTGGACCAACTGGTCTGTTGGTCCATTGGACCGGTTGGACCAACTGGCCTGTTGGTCCAGTGGACCGGTTGGACAAACTTGTCTGTTGATCCTGTGGACCGGTCGGACGAACTGGCCTGTTGGACTTGTGGACCGGATAAACCAACTGGCCTGTTGGTCCAGTGGACCGGTCGGACCAACTGGCCTGTTGGTCCAGGGACCGGTTGGACCAACTAGTCTCTTGGTCTAGTGGACCGGTTGGACCAACTAGCCTGTTGGTCTAGTGGACCGGTTGGACAAACTGGCCTGTTGGTCCAGTGGACCGGTTAGACCAACTAGCCTGTTGGTCCAATGGACCGGTTGGACAAACTGGTCTATTGGTCCAATGGACCGATTGGACCAACTTGGCTTGTTGAACCAACAGGCCTGTTGGTCCAATGGACCGGTTGGACCAACAGGCTTGTTGGTCCAATGGACCAGATCGACCAACTGGCCTATTGATACAATGGACAGGTTGGACCAACTGGCCTGTTGGTCCAATCGACCAGTTCGACCAACTGACCTATTGGACCAATGAACCGGTTGGACC